GATATACAAATAGCAGTTCCTGACGGGTAGAGTTTCGTTTGGCGAAACGTTGACGTATGTGTCAGCAACGGATTTTAATGCAAACGCTTTTGAGTTGCCGAAGTTCAACGGCTCTTCAACGGGAACCCGAGCTTTATATCTATCACAGGCGGGGAATAAATCGAGCAGCCTCTCTGCAAATCTCCCCCGTCACCTCCACCGTCCCCCTCTAAGGCGACCTTATCACGCTTGCAGTTCCAGCTTATCGGCTCTTGTTTGTCTTGTAACGTCGCGAGGCGACGCTCGGCTATGGCGACGAAGTGAAAATCCGAATTCTCATCGTTTTGAAAAATCACTCTAAAGTGTCAATCTCCATTTATCTCATTTTAATTGCAGCCTTACATTTCTCTTTCGATTCAGATTCAAGAACTTAGGTATTTTTGTAAAATTAAACAAAGGCATTAAACGCTCATGACCAAAGCGCTCAAGATTTCCAAAAAGATACCTAACCTAAAAATGTTCTCATATAAGAATGGAAAGTACAGTCCTGTAAATCCATATTTTTGATTAATTTTCTGGGTCACATTGACAGCCTGCCTTATCAGCTACCACCTTAAATTTCCCACTTCGATTCACCTCCAAGCACTTTACATTTTCCTGCATTTAATTACATTCGTCCTTGCATTCACACTGTCGTCTTAACAATAAGAGTCAGAGTGAAGTAAATCGAGATTAAATTTGCAATCTCTAAGGAATTCCATGGGAAGATGAAGAAAAAAATTACGTGAAAGCAGTTGGATGTGAAAAATGACAAAAGAATGCGACAAAAGAATAAGAAGTGGAGGGTAGCAGGATAGCGTAAGGTAGAGCAGCACGGAATCTGAATAATTCATGGAAGATAGAAACCAGGACGACGAACGCAGGCCGTTTTTTAATTATCATCCAGCGTGTTTGCAACCACTCGGGAAGGATTACGCGTCGCGTCGCGTCGGCGTACATGCGCCAGCGTAACTTGCTCTTTACTTACGTCAGAAGCTTTCCTCGGGAAGCTCTACAAAGTGGGAAGAAAATTATCGCCCCTGCTGCTGCTGCTGCTGCTTCGCGCTTGCGATATTCCCCTGCGAAATATTGATTCGTCGACATTCGAATGGAACATTATTATTATTATCATTGAATCTTCAAGGTTGCATCAATTACAAAAGTCATTAGCATCCACAATGATTATGGATCACATAGAGTAAAAATTAATCCTTGTCCATTGCTTAACAAATTAA